ATAGTTTTTGATTTTATGAGCATGCGCGCGCACACACACACAACTCGTTTTCTTAAATGAATTATATGAGCAAATATGTGTTTACATATTGCAAAGAGAAAGAAATATTTTACTTTCCTTTTATTTATTTATTTTTTATGTTTTATTTATTTCTGAGAGAGAGAGAGAGAGAGAGACAGCATGAACAGGGGAGGGGCAGAGAGAGAAGGAGATACAGAATCGGAAGCAGGCCCCAAGCTCTCAGTTAGCTGTCAGCACAAAACCCAACACGGGGCTCGAACCCACAAACTGTGAGATCATGACCTGGGCCGAAGTCAGACGCTTAACCAACTGAGCCACCCAGGCGCCCCTCTTTACTTTCCTGTTAAATTTTAGTGGAATTGAAAGGAATATCCTCAATTAAAGCTGCAGCTTTTTAAAAGTCATTATAGTAGAATACCTAGTACTGTGCTTAGAAATTGCTGGTTTTCGCTTGTCTTTTTTTTTTTTTTAATATTTTTATTTATTTCTAGGAGAGAGAGAGAGAGACAGCGTGAGCAGGGGAGGGTCAGAGAGAGAGGGAGATACAGACTCCGAAATAGGCTCCAGGCTCTGAGCTGGCAGTCAGCACAGAGCCCGACGCGGGGCTCGAACCCACGAACCGCGAGATCATGACCTAAGCGAAAGTCAGACGCTTAACCGACTAAGCCACCCAGGCGCCCCTCGCTTGTCTTTTTTTCTCTGTTATTTTCCCCCCAAATAAGTATCTCTGCTGCTTTTAAGTAACTCCAACCCCTAACGAAACGACAAAAAAAGAAAAAAGAAAAAAAAGAAAAGAAAAGAAAAAGAAAAACAACCACTTTACTTTTTCCTACCAATTCAGTCCACTGGCAGCCTCAGAAGGCCTTTGGTAGAAATGAATGTATAGTAAACAATGGAACAGCCGTAAGCATCCCCGCGCGAATGTTATCATGCGCTATCAAACAATGATTGTGCATTTTCTGCTTGTAGAAATAAAACAGAAACTTGGTATATTTTGAAAATGACGATATTTGTTCTCAGTGCTTGGTCACCGCTGGTCTACAGCTCTTTCCCCAGCTTACATAAACACTGAATAAAGCTGTGACGGATTACATGCAGCACGCTGGAGCTGATGAGCTCAAAAATAAGGTAGCTTGGGTCCTGTAGTATTTAGGATTATGCTGGTAATCTCTTTAGGGAAAGTGTGCAGTATGAGCAGAACAGACACTTTGGTGTCCGAGGGAGCTGTGCACTCATAATTCTCCATTTGTTGAGTGGCTGAGCCTTTGCCTACATTGATAGAGGGCCTTTGGGATGTTTAGCATAGGGTGAAATTATAAGAGCTTTGAGAGTGACATCCTGAGTTATCATTTGACCCCTAAAATAATTTCCGGTGCTGCGTGAAGGTGAGAACACCTCCCTTTAAAACCTACGTGTCTCCTTTTCGAAAAAGGCCGTTTATGTAAGGATAAACTAAACGGATACATGCCTTTGCTAGAACATAAAATGATATAATGTAATTCTCAATGTGGAAACTTGCCATACATTTTGCTCTTGTGTAATATCTGTGTTAAAAATAAAATAGGGGCACCTTGGTGGCTCAGTCGGCTAAGCATCTGACTCTTGGTTTCAGCTCAGGTCATGATCTCACGGTTCGTGGGTTCGAGTCCCACATTGGGCTCTGTGCTGGCAGTGTCGAGCTTGCTCGGGATTCTCTCTCTCTCCCTTTCTCTCTCTCTGCCCCTCCCCTACTTGCATGCATGCACTTTCTCTCTCTTTCTCAAAATATATAAATAAACTTTAAAAAATAAAATGAAAGCTCTTGCAGATGAGCTCAAAAATGAGTGCCTCTGAGGCGCCTGGGTGGGTCAGTCGGTTAAGCGTCCTACTTCGGCTCAGTTCTCGATTTCGCAGTCTGTGAGTTCGAGCCCGGCATTGGACTCTCTGCTGAAAGTTGAGACCCTGGAGCCTGCTTCGGATTCTGTGTCTCCCTCTCTCTCAACCCCTCCCCCTCTCATGCCCTCACTCTCTCTCAAAAATATACTTTAAAACATTTTTTTAAAAATGAGTGCCTAAAATCTGAGTACTTATAGTAGAGTCCCTGATGCCATTATACGTCCAAAGTGTCCTCCCATAAGTGAAAACTCTCTAAAGTCTTGTCGTAGTGTCTCTTCATCCAAAATTTTTCCCTAAATCAACTCTCTGATGGCAAAGAACGTCTTTAAAGTAACTGTTCCTTTTCCATTTCATTCTCTCTCTTTTTCCTTCTCTCTTTCTCTCTCTCTCTGACACGTAAAACAGATGTAAATATTTCATCTATGTTCTAAAGTGTGCTTATATAATCATCTGCTGCATCAGTGGCTAAGGGAATATTAAAAAACAGATATGCTTGTAAATATGAGAGGGTGACAAATAATACCACAGTTGAGTTTTTGGCCATCCAAGCAAATTATAGGACATTATGAGCCTGTTAAGAAACATTAATACATTAGGAGGGAAAAATGTTAACATGGTGCTAACATTCTGATATTATGTAGACATTGTCTTCCTGTGGGACAGTAATCCACCCAAATATCTTATAAGAAAATGACATGTCTCCCTCTCTTTCTGCCCTTCCCCTGCTCATGCTCTGTCTCTCACAAAAGTAAAATAAACATTAAATTTTTTTAAAGGGCATGTCATTTTTGTTTTATGAGGTTTCTCTTTTCCAGAGCAAAGGCATTGAAATTGGTTTCTGGTCACTGCATTTTAGAATATAACCTAGTTCTTCTCTCTGTGCTCCTCCCTTGTCTCTTTTTTAAACATATTTCAAGAAATATGTTTTATTTTCTGTTCCACCAAGCAGGGAAGACATATTTTTCTTAGTTTTGAACTCTCTGAACAGGTGCTGAGAACTTCAGGAATGGTTTCTATTGCTTCTATCCGCGAAGAAAATGAGAAGTAGTATTGTGTGCTTTCGATCCCAAACTTGAGTTACTTGGGATTTTCTTGGTGTGTGTGTGTGTGTGTGTGTGTTTAATTAGTGTTCCTGTTCCAACCTTTGAATTTTCAGACATACAGTTTAATGTCTTTGTTTTCATATTTATCTTTATTTCCCAGTTCATTGGTCTTGAACTGCCTCTTACAGTCAACAGTAATACTCTATTGAGCCATATGAAATTGTCAATGCTGAGTGTTGCCTTGCATAAAAAAGTGGCAGTTTCCTGTAGTTCAACTTGTTGTCTGTGACTACAGATGGAAAGCATAGTCATTTGATAATTCTGAAAGCATTCTGCTACTATTTACTTTCATTTAACCCCATAACAAGGCCCCCCAAATAAGTTTACATTCCTAGTGTGAAATTTTACTCTCATCATTGAATTTTCCTTTTTCCATCTTTAGTCACCAATTGTAAGTTTGCCATTTTCCTCCATACTTACCCTTTGAAGTCCTGCTTGCCGTCTAAGACCTGGCTCAAAAACCACCTCATCCACCAAACTTTCCCAGCTCCCCTCAGTTAAAATCAACATCTGTTCCCCATGTGCATCTAGCAGTCTCTCAGTCGGCCCTGTATTCAAATTATTTAGACCTGTGTGGGGCTGTCCAATTACTGTATTCATTTTGAAGATGGAAGCTTGAATGTGCATGTATTTGAGGCCTAAAACACAAAAATATTTGCTGCATTAATTGTTCTTAAAGTATCCCTTACTCGTCTTGGTTGAGTTATCTCAGATGATCCTCATTACCTCGATAAAAGAAGTGCTTTTGTGGAATTATTTTAAATACTTAATAAAATGTTGAATGTATTTCTAAATGTACAGAATAATCGAGTACAGTTCCATATATCTACTCACCCCCCCACACACACACACATACAGTTTTCCTCTATTATTAATATCTTGCATGAGTGTGATATATTTGTTACAAATGATGAGCCAATCCTGATACATTATTAACTATAGTCCATACTTTAAGGTTTACTCTTTGCGTTGTATCATTCTATGGGTTTCGGCAAATCGATAGACATGTATCCATCCTTATATCATACAGAATAATTTCACACCCCTATTCTGTGTGCCTCACCTACTTATGGTCCCCTCCATCCCCTGAATCTGTGGCAACCACTGATTATTTTTTTACTGTCTCTATTTTGTCTTTTCCAAAATACCATATAGTTGGGGGCGCCTGGGTGGCTTAGTCGGTTAAGCGTCCGACTTTCGCTTGGGTCATGATCTCGTGGTTCGTGGGTTCGAGCCCTGCGTCGGGCTCTGTGCTGACTGCCAGCTCAGAGCCTGGAGCCTATTTCAGAGTCTGTGTCTCCCTCTCTCTCTGACCCTCCCCTGCTCATGCTCTCTCTCTCTCCTAGAAATAAAAATATTAAAAAAATTTTTTTTTCAAAATGTCATATAGTTGGAATTATACAGTACATAACCTGTCTAGATTGCCTTCTTTCACTTACCAGTAAGCCTATGCGATTCTTCCATGTTTTCTCATGGTTTGATAGCTCACTTTTTTTAATCACTAAATAATATTACTTGTCTGCATGCCCCCAGTTGGTTTATCCATTCATCCATTAAAGGACATCTTGTTTGGGGGCACCTGGGTGACTCAGTCATTTAAGTGTCTGACTCTTGATTTCTTTTTTTTTTTTAATTTTTTTTTAATGTTTTATTTATTTCTAGGAGAGAGAGAGACAGCGTGAGCAGGGGAGGGTCAGAGAGAGAGGGAGGCACAGACTCTGAAACAGGCTCCAGGCTCTGAGCTGTCAGCACAGAGCCCGACGAGGGGCTCGAACCCACGAACCGCGAGATCATGACCTGAGCGAAAGTCGGACGCTTAACCAACTAAGCCACCCAGGCGCCCCTGACTCTTGATTTCTGCTTGGGTTATGATCTTATGATTCATGGGCTCAAGACCCACGTTGGGTTCTATACTGACAGTCCCTCTCTCTCTCTGCCCCTCCCCTGCTTGCGCTCTCTCTCTCCCTCTCTAAATAAATGAATAAACATTGAAACAATTTCTTTAAAGGATATCTTGTCTGTAGGGCAAATATGAATAAAGTTGCCATGCACATTAATGTACAGGTCTTTGCGTGAACAGTTCTCAATTCAGTTGTTGGGTTATATGGTAAGACCATGTCGTTTTATAAGAAACTGCCAAACTGCCTTCCAAAGTGGATGTCCCATTCTGCATTCCCCCCAGCGACAAATAAGCATTCCTTTTGCTCTGCATTCTTGTCACCATTTGGTATTGTCCGTTTTTTAGATTTAGTCATTCTGATAAGCATGCAGTTGCATCACATCGTTGTTTTTATCTGTAATTCCCTAAAGACATAGGATGTTGAGCATCTTTCCATATGCTTATTTGCCATCCATGTATCTTCTTTGCTGAGGTGTACAATTCTGGTCTTTGGTCCATTCTTTTCAATTTTGAAAAGTCTTTGAATATTTTGAATAAAAGCCCTCCGTCAGACACGTGGTCTACAATATTTTCTCTCTGTCTGTGATTTGTCTCTTCATACTCTTCATGCAATTTGATTTTTAACATAGGAAAGTTGCCTTTTTTCATCTTCCAGAAACTGGGGTCTTTGGTCTTTTTGAATTTTTATCAAGGGAATCAAGCCTGCCTGTTCACTCTGAGTCGTCTGTGTGACCTGGTGTGCAGAGTTATCCATTCCTGTTCTCCTTCAGTGAAGGCGGTGCTCCATAAACTTGAGCTTCCTGTTGAAGATTTCAGCTGAATGGAGACAAGGGAAAGGGGCTCAGAAACACATGAAGGACTAAAGAGATACAGGGTTTTCACTGATGCAAAATAATCACTGTTTCCTTCTTTCTATAACTGAAAAAATTAGCTGTCAAGAATATATATCTTCTTTTTTCTTCAATATGACGTTCTCCTCACATGGAGTTATGGTCTAGGGACAGACACCCTGAGAGTTACATTGTAGAATACCTTGCCTTTTTTTCTTCCAGAACTTCTCAGACTTCCCTGTGCATATGAGTCTCAGAGATGGGGTTACAATGCACCTTCTGATGATACTGGTCTAAGGTAGAAGCTAATGCCTGAGTTTCTAGCAGGCACCCAGGCGATGCTGTGCTGATGGTCCAGGACCACACTTGGAGTACTATGGCTCAGGGCAGCGTGATGACAGACAGATGCGTGGCCATCAGGACCACGGAGCTCTGGGTTACCTAATCTGCCTTCACGAGATGGGGCATCTTTCCAAATGTATCATTTCCAGAATTACCACACAGAGCCAAAATGAGTTCGTTTCTGTTTCAAGTATCGTTTCATCCTTACCTCCACCGAAAGCAGTCAAAAAATTTTTTTGTGCAATTAAAAATTTTAAGTAGAAAAACTACTTCTGAAAAGTTTCTCAAAGGAGATTTTTTTTGTGCCCAGAGTATCCAGAGAGTGAGCTAGTGGGCCAGACCCCAAGAACAAGTCCATAACATCCACAGAAGAGGGAGGATGTCCTGCCACACAGTGTTACATCGTGGAGACGATGTAGACGCCGTCGACAATCGTGAAATCTGTAAAGGAAACTCGGGCCACTGGGTGTTAATTACAGTAATGCAAGATGTTTCTGGCTTTCCTTTTTTCTGCCTTGTCAATTAATGACCAGGGTTTTTTGTAACTAACCCTTCAAGTGTCCTACTGCCTTTTGAACAAGAGAGAGATACCTAACAGACAATAGCAGAAACTGCTTTTCCTGAATCCTGTAAAAGTTTCTAATTTCCCTTAATGCCAGAGAAATTAAAAACCCCATTAGTTCTCAGAATTGCTACAACTATAATTACCTGGACATCATAGAGCAATTCTTCTCAAACTTCAGTGCTGTCTGTCCTAGGGAGCTTGTTAAAAAGCAAATTCTGATTCAGATCGGTCTTAGGTTAAGTCTTGATCCTTTGCATTTCTACCATGCCCCCAGATCACGCCAATGCCACACTGTGAGTGGTCACAGAAGACATCACTGCTTTTGTCCTGAATGATGTCAGATCCTACACACACAGTATCTGGTTATAATTAAACCTTTGATAAGACAAGATGTATTTAATGGTAATTAATTCATAGCTTATGAGTTTAAAACCACTATGACTTCCAAGGGGGATATTTCACTTATTATCAGTAATTGCTATTAATGATAATACTAATTGCTGCTACTGTCCTGTGTTAGTCTCCTTCCCTGTTATTTAGGTCTTCTGAAGGGTTAGCATTGGCCAGCAGTTCTTCTGGGCTGAATGCTCCTATGTGAGATAAATCAATTCCCGTCATAATAATCCTATAAATCATGCCTTTGAGAAAAATCATTTTTTGCCATTCTCATTTGAGAGTTATTTTTTTCTTACCCTAGTTTCCAATGACATGTAGTGTAGGGATATAGTAATAGAAAAATAAATGTCATCTGTAGGTCACTCAGAAGCTGTCTATCAACTGAAGGGAAGTAAAGACTCACATAGACCACCTCCCAGAATATTACAGAGGAGAGAGAGGAGAGGTTAGGAAGAAAGGGAGATCCCAAATGCTGATACAGGAATTGGAAGAATTCTAGTAAGAAGCAGAGTGCACTGAATTGCAAGAACTACACATGACATTTAAGCAGGAAACTGGGATTAAGATGCCATGTGCCCTGATGCGACATATGTGAACACATACCTGATCCAATGTCGGGAATCTTTTAGATTCACCACCCAGTGTGATACCAAAGATCAAAGGTGTTTACTTCTTTTCCTGAGGGTCTCATTTTTCCACACTTCCATTCCATCTCAATCTTGGGGCTCTTTTCTGATCAAAATTTAGAGTGGAGCCAGATCTTAGAAATACTCGCTTCATCCTGCAGGTTTGATCCTTTGTGACATCAGAAGGTTGTATGCCTCATAAAGGCAGACACTTACTGTCTGCTAGTCAAGTGAGGGAAAAACTACATTCAGATATTTTAATGTGGACTTGCTACAAATGATTGACAAGACACAACCTGGGCTACTGATACCATGTGCAGAGAGAATTTTCACCAAAATAGCCATCCCTATTGAAGTTTGGTATGTGCAATTTGTGTTTCATTCAAACATTAAGAGTTTTTCCTGCACTGCCCACTTTTAGCATAACTGTAGAATTCTGGGAAACAAAAACTGAGGGGCAAACCCAGTATACAGGAATGGAAGTTATTGTGGACTGAGTAGATGCTTCTTATTTCCCTTAAGGGAAAAAAAAAAAGGCAAAAAAGAAGACACTACAACTATAGCCCAAACCAAAGGTCAGGGCACAGAGAGAATTATTGGTTATTCCTTCATATTTTCATTTTTTTAATGTTTATTTATTTTTGAGAAAGCACAGGTTGGGGAGGGCAGAGAGAGAGAGAGGGAGATACAGAATCTGAAGCAGGCTCCAGGCTCTGAGCTGTCAGCACAGAGCCCCACGCGGGGCTCAAACCCACAAACTGTGAGATCATGACCTGAGCTGAAGTCGGACAGTTAACCAACTGAGCCACCCAGGGGCCCCAGGATTACTGCTTTAAGGGGCTATACAAATTCTCTTTTGGTCTCTATAGAAACAAAAATTTTTAAGTATTATCTGGTCCTGGACCCTTTCCTCAATGGACTTAAAATGCCCAGACTATAAAAATGGCCAGGTTGCATTATAGGAAATGGAGTGGGGAATTGAGAGCCGCAAGAACACACACAGTATAAATGTTTCCTTCAACCAGAAAGTACCTGACCTGTTCACTGTGACTACCATTCCTGATGGATTCTTTTAAGAATTAAGGTATTTGGGGGGCACCTGGGTCGCTTAGTTGGTTAAGTGACCAACTCTTGATTTTGTCTCAGGTCATGATCCCACAGTTCATGAGTTTCAAGCCCTGGGTCAGGCTCTGCCCTGACCGTACCAGAGCCTGCTTGGGATTCTCCCTCCCCTCTCTCTCTGCCCTTCCCCTGCTCAGCCTCGTTCTCTCTCTCTCTCTCTCTCTTTCAAAGTAAATAAATAAACTTTAAAAAATAATTAAGGTAATTTGGTGCATCTAGTGAATGTGTTAGCTTGGATTAGTTCATCTCACTTAACACCTGCCTTCACCAGCAGGACATTCTGAGGGAACAAAACAAAAGATGTGTATATTTTGATAATCGAGAAGAACTGAACACACAGTGGATTTATGCAGCTTTGCAGTCAGGGATGCTAAGCAAGGAAGGGCCTTCAGGAGGTGCTGGGGAAGAGGAGAGAACTGCCATGTTCGAAGAAGACACACACTGTGACTAGTTTATAATTGTTGACTAGGACCTTCCTGCCAAATCGTGGGGTATTAAATTAATTGTACTTCATCAAGAGTATAAGGTACAACATCAAATTATTTTCAATCTTTCACGATACTCTTTAAGAATATCATTTCCAAAAAAATTATATGTGCTTTTAAATACAAAGATATGTAATTGGTAAATGCAATGTTAACTAGAGTCTCCACAGAAGTTTAGCAATAGAAACAATGTGAGTGAAAGATACAAGAAATGGAGAAACTGAGAAGTGAGCACACCTCAAGCCATCTTTCAGGACATTTGGGCTCTTCTACGTTTGTCTCTCAGAGAACGCTTCGGTCGAATTAATCCATGAGTCATGCAAAAGGAGGAAGGTTGAACTCAGTTTCCTTATAGCACCTTCATTGTCACAGCTGGTGGGGTCCAAGCCACCAAATCCTCCCTTGATGTTCAGCTTGAAGCCATGAGAAATAGCATGTCACCAGATCTGCATTCATGCAAGATAACTGCCCAAGGAGACAATGGCTGGAGTAATGGCTAGACATTTACAAGTGGCAAACATCGGAGCAATGTCATGTGTTGTCCTTATCGGTGTCTAAAATACTCCGCCTCAAAGATGTGCTTTATAAAATGCATAGTATGAACTACGATGTTGTAGCTCAGAAACAGTTTATTTTTTTATTTTTATTTTATTTTTTTTTTAATTTCTAGGAGAGAGAGAGAGAGACAGCGGAGCAGGGGAGGGTCAGAGAGAGAGGGAGTCACAGACTGAAACAGGCTCCAGGCTCCGAGCTGGCAGTCGGCACAGAGCCCGACGCGGGGCCAGAACCCACGAACCGCGAGATCATGACCTAAGCGAAAGTCGGACGCTTAACCGACTAAGCCACCCAGGCGCCCCAGAAACAGTTTATTTTAAATGAGAGCAAAGGAAAAAGGATTAGTGCTTTCAATTATTTAAATTTATCTTCACCTAGGGCACCTGGGTGGCTCAGTCATTAAGCATCTGTCTTTGGCTCAGGTCATGCTCTCAAGGTTCATGAGTTCAAGCCCCACATCAGGTGAGCTCGAGCCCTGCTTCAGGTGAGAATGATCCCCACCTCTGGTAAGCTTGTGTCTCACTTTGGGTGAAGTGAAGCCCCACCTCCGCTAAAACACAAGTCCTCTTTGGGGTGAGCCCCATTTCTCTCTCTCCCCCTCTCTTTCTGCTCCTCATGGGATTCTCTCTCTCTCTGCCCATTACTCACTTGCGCCCTCTCTCTTTCTCAAAATAAATTTTTATCTTAACGTATAACAACCTCATATGACCCATTCTGCCATAATAGGTAAAAATCATCATAGATTTTCCAAACTGATAATCCCTCCACACATATCAACACACATATATCTTTTTAAGTGACTTCTTTCTCTTTAAAAATACTGTTAAAATGTTTATGGTTCTTCAGGATTACATGTTGAGCTAAGATAATAAATATGTATAAATATGCAGATGCTCTATCGAATCATTCCTGATCCCATTTGTATTTCCCAAGTTGTGTAAGATAACCTTTGTGGCTTTCAAAAACATCTTCTCACACCCTAGGGGGCAAATTACCTCTATTTTCATTTCCTTTAGAGTTAGATCATTTTATAATTAAGAACTTATTGAAGCAGATTCTCTTCACGTGTAAGTTACTCCCTGGGGAGTAATTTATGCAAAGAGCACCTCTGACTTAATATCATATAAGCTTAACAACTGTACAATGGATACCTGGTATTTTTAGTCAATTTTGTAATCATTGTAACGAATCCACTGTTTGAAAGGTTATCACTAAAAAAAAGTGCAAATTATGTATAGTGTCATTCATTTGTGTTTTTTAAATAAGGGTTTTAGTAAAGGAACAATAATGTGGCTTGTCATAATTCTCGTCCAATAGTATTAGCAATACCAGTTAGCAATGGTTCTGATGCTGATTAAGACTGACATTTTGTAGCTCTTCACTATTTGCAAGGCAGTTCTACATAAAATATCTCATTAAACCTCAGAAATCTATGAAGTTTGTCAGCTAACTTTATAAACCAGGAAACAAGACTCTTATCTTAGCTATGGACCTAATCATTAACAGATTACAGACAGGAATCCAGGAAAACAGAATAGAAATTACACCAGATCTCACATTGTTCCCCATATCACAAAATCTTGAAAACAAATACTAGTTCATATAATCTGAAGGCTGAAAAAATGGAAACAATAGAAATACTTAGTTTAGTATTTTAGTTGACTTTGTCTCGTCTCCTGATATTTTTATTATTGTCTCTTTAGCTGGTACTATTGGAATAGTAAGAAATTTAAAATTGTATTCATACCGTGTCTTTGTGGTAGGGCAACGAAAAGTCACTGAACAAAGTATCAGGAAAATTGGTTAATTTCTGGTGGTCATCTCCCAAATCAACTCAAGGGCACCATTAACCACTTGGATTCTCAGTTTTCTCATATGAAAAATAGGATCATAATACTCAGATTTTTGCTTATAAAGATGATTTGAACATAGCGGGAAATACTGAATTTCAAAAAAAATGTAATATGTTCTCCTTAAGCTAAGTATTATCTTTTTTAAAAATGTAAAATAATAAGAAAATGAGGGTTATGTCTTGCATTTATCTGTTTTGTATATTCAAGGGTGAGAAACTGTAGAAAAGCATCCACATGGCAGATTGATGTACAAAGCATTTTGAGGCATATTTTGCATAATTATTTTAAATTGGGAACAGGAATAGCAGATCTTCCTGGTGTGTATAATTTTAACAACACTTAGAATACTACCAGAGACATAGGAATTACTACATTCTAAATAAAGTTTATCTCGTGGATTCATCCATAACCTCCATGCTGATGCCTTAAAATCATCTTTCCAGAGGGTTCTGTATACAGGTGCTTGCACATGCAAACATGCAAATTGGAAACCCTGCGTCCCACCATGTTCTGCAAAGTAGTTGCCTTACCAACAACTCCACTTGTGTCAAAACTCCTGTTGAACCTCACCCCTGAAGGGTGGAGCTAGAAGTCATCTTTGGATTCTTCATCTATTTCCACCTCTGTATCCTTTCTTTATCTTCATTGACCTATTTGCTTCTCCTTCTCCACTTACCCTGTGCCATTGAGGTAATCCATGCTTTCATCTTCTGACACCGGGTTTGGAATAGCCTTTTAGTCTTCTGGCTTTTTCCAGTTAGCTAAGGTACCCAAACCACCACTTTGATCATGCTGTCCCTTCCTTGAAACCTTGTGGCCCGTGGTAATAGGTGGAAATTCCTCTGCCCAACTCCCAGGAGCTCCATAATGTCTTATCACTCCCTCTACCCAGCCATATGGCCCATGTTTCCAGTAGAGCCGAGTTGTTTGTCTCAACAATCATGAGCCACAGTCATTCCAGTGGACCTCCTTCATTCCATTCTGCTTGCAGAAATGCCCTTTGCCTTTCACTTCAGCCCAACTGTATCATCACACTCTTCAAAATCAACCGTAACGTCTTCATCTCCATGAAATTATTGTTTGCATTGAAGTCATAGAAGCCTCATGTTTTATCATTT